CAGTACCAGTAGAGAAACTCTCGATCAACTTTTGCTCTATTTAGTCATTACCTTTTAATATATCTACTGCATGTCTAATAAAAGTAAAGTGTTATATTATTTCAGAAGAAAATCAGAAGTTCAGTGACAAGAAATATGTAGTACATGTTATGGTACAACTACAAATTCAGATATCGTGAATATAAACGAAACAGAATTATACATGAAACGGGTGATGTAAAAGAAGCGTCTCGTGTTTAAGCAGGCTTAAAACATATGTTCGAATTGCAATAGGTGAAGAAAGATTATCCAGTTTATCTTTAATAAATATTGAATGTAGCTTTAACAATGACTTAGATACTATTATAAATGAATTTATATCGAAAGACAACGAAAGAAAAAAAATTATTTTGAAAATAAACAAATTAATCATATATAACTAGGTTTTGAATTATAAAGCTTATTTATATTGATCGGTAAAAAAAATTTGTTGCTTGTCCTGGAAACTTTAGCTTACTCCATCCATGTCTGTCAATGATGAAATTAACGCTGAGTAATACTAAAAGTTTTTAAAAAAATCAATATTCGTTCTATGCTACACTTTCTTGTGCTATATGTTTCTATTCGATATCAATAACTAAGATAAAATAGGCAAGAATGATGATGACGATGACCATGGGAAAACGGCTGATTTTATTTATTCCCATGATAGACATAAATCATTTTTCGCCTTGGCAATTAAATCAATTATAGTTATATGCCAAGTCTTGTGGCATTTTACACACTACTTCAAAAAACTCAATAATGACTTCCCACTGATGCTTCACCAATCTTTATGCACATGAACTTCGGTAAAATAGGAATTTTATATTCACCATGGAGATAAATTTTCATTTTTCGAAGTTTGATCCAAACTAAATGCATATTTTTAACAATCACGAATGAGTTGAACAGAAACAGAAAGATGTAGAAACGAGTGAAAAATGATTAAATTCTTTCATCTCTTAGATTTGTCAACCATAATCACACAGAGAACAATTTGTCACTTGTATTTTGGTATATAATTAAATTCTTATAAAATGAAACGCTTTTATAATCAACTTAAATCATTTACGGTTGTGATCAAGATTTTTAAAGAATGTTGAACTTTAATAGAGTCTAAATCAGAGTCCGAAACAGGGCAGATTTTTCGTTCCCCGCCTCGCCTCAATCTTGATTGTTTTTTCTTTCCTACCTTGTCTGGTAGTTATGAGATCTTATTTCCTTTGATCATATCATTGGTTTGACTTTATATTGGAAAAAAGGTGCAACAATATAGTAGTAAAAAAAGAATATAACTGATCATTAATAAGCCTTTTTGTTATTCTCTATAGAACAAAGAAATAAAATATTATTCATAGTTGTGGGATGTAAATTACGTCTTCTTTGGTTGATAAATTCCCCTACTACCGAAAATTCTATGTCGACAGCAGCTGAATTGTATGGTATTGGGTATGTGACATGCCAATTCAGAAGAATCTAGAAAAAAGATTTCGTGTTCATGCCAAAATAAGTATAAATTTGAAGTCTTTTTCTATAATTTGAATCGATATTTATATCGATTTCATCTTTTCTTTCACTTCGTCATCCATTAACTGTTCAAGAAACATTTTTGTTGGATCACTTTCAATGTCAACTGTTGCGGTGGAAGTCACTTTCGGTAGACAGGCTCCGCCAGTACGATAACATTTTGCTTTTTGAGCTCGTTCTTGGTGGCAGTAGTCATACTAGTTTTAGATGAAGAAATGAACACTAATAAAACATGTGATAAAGGACATAGCAGGTTTTTGATGGACTATTTGTGTTAAGTTGGACTCAACCAAAAAGTTTGATGTTGATGTTACAAGATAAGAAATTTTCTGTCAGTTTAACGAAATGTTCTCTGTTAAATCATCGTTGGACGTATTTTTCTAACATCAAAGTCATTGAATACCAGAAAAAAGCAAACTTTCCAGCTTCAATATCACGACATTTATAAATCCAATTTAGCCAAATTAGGTTGATCTCAAATTTCATTTTTCTTCGAGTAAGGCATATAAAGTTGCCTAGTGCATCAAATGGTGTGCCTAGTTGGACATTCTTAATGAGTCTCTTGTTGAAAAGTTACAGACTACGTTAAAGACATCATCGATCCAATAACTATTGACATATACTTGGCATATCTCTTTAAAGTAGTTAAGTTTTGTGCTAATGTTTGACTTCATGCCTACAAAAAAAATATACTTCTTTCCTTTTCTTAGTGTGTTTGAATAGTGTATAGGAAGTTATTTAACAAACAACACTGCATCTTATTCTAGTGAAATGCTGAGTACTTGATGTTTTCGTGGCATGCAGTAGTTTTGATGTTAAAAAGAAATGAAAAAATGATTATATCAATAAATTCTACATGAAATTCTGTTTTAGCATTTGACGCAAACTTTTAGGTAATCTACTCTGAGAAAAAATTTTGTCAATAGATGTCAATTTTTTCTCTCTTGCGCTCTTTATCTATTTATTTTCCACGATAAAGACTAAAATTCAATAGAGACTATTCACATTTAACGAAAAACTTTTATACTTGTACGAAGTATTGAGTATATAATCTGTTGCGCAAAGACTCTTATCCTGAGTCTTTATATATATACTATTCAAATACAGTCTATATATTAATATTTACATTTTGAATCTATGACGAGGAAAATTCGGGAATTTTAACTTAACTCCACCTCGTATGGGCAAATCTCGCTCTGTCGTAACTTTTCCCTGCCTCGTTTCGATCTCTAATCCAGACCCAACTTCATTTACGTATTTCAACCGTATTGATTCAAGTGCAATTAATTAATGTACGAGAATTATTAGTTTTGCAGTAAACATAAATTTCTGATGCACGTGTTTGATCATGGCTTTGATATCTATTAAATTTTTCAATGACTTTTTTGTTCATTGTTTTTCAGCTGAAATTATTTAATCGTTATCGTATTCATTCGATGGTAGTTCTGCTTGCTATCAAAATTTGATAGTTTAATTTATGAGAAGCAACTGAAGTATTCTTATGAATATTCTCGAAGCATAAGAGAACTGTATGTAAGTAAATCATTTTACAAGACATACTTCAGATAAAAAATCGAAGCATGATCTTTTAATGGTTTCTTCTCTTATATTTTGTCCTTATCTGCCTACTCAAAATGGTAAATATTGACGAGGTGAGAGTAT